ACCATACCCTTGGGGTGAGCAGTGACTCATAACGCGCTCTGCGACGAAATGTCGTGCTAATCTTGTAATTGGTGGTGATGCCAAAACACTAACAATTATGTCTGCAGTCGCAGTGGTCTGGCAAAAGTGGTGGCGCTTACGGCGGACTTATTATATCATAGGGCCAGAGTGCCTGATTATTAACACATGCCCAAAACCGTATTGACGTACATTCACGAAGACTGGATTTGTCGTCGGCTTGTATGACGTTTACACGCAATGACATGCGCGACTTCGGTCAAAGTTTGTGCTTACGCACTGCCAAGGGGCCAAGCCCTGTTTATGCTGGTAAAACAGCTTTGCAATGGACTTCGGTCCTTTCCCCAACTTTTGTCCCTCTTCTGGGAGGCGCAATATGTTGGTTGGCGCTCACCGCACACGGCGTTGGTGAGTGTTTTCATGGAGCCGTGTGCCTTCCCTACATTTTTTTTAAATGTGGGGGAGCTGTTGACTTGTATCGGGTATGTAAAATTGATTTGAGCCCTTTTCAAGAGAGAAGGGATATTAGTTTAAAATTATATTGTAAGCCCGTCTCAAGCGAGTCGGGATTAGTTAATGAGAAAGCAATCTGGCATTATCTCTGACTTATACCACGACTAGTGAATATTTATCTATCCAAGATACACCTAAAAGAAACAGGTTACTAAATAAACACAACGTAAATAAGGTCCTACCGAATATGACCGATCACAATAATATTTCATACAGCTAATTATTATCTTTAGAAAGATCCTAAAGAAAGATCAATTATCCTGGTCACGTAATGATGTTGTATGATCTATTCATAAAACGGGGTAAAATATATATAATTTTATATATGTTTTACCCCGTTATATATATGCTATGAAAAGGGGGGGCTTAAGTTACACTAGGCAAGCATTGTCTATTGAATTGTCAAATCGTTCAAAAGGCGCGCGAAAGTATATCTGTGTACAGTGTGGTTAACAGCTAAACGTATTAGATCACTACGATAGAAGAATTCGAAAGAGAAAACGGAAGTAAGTATACAAGTTCCTTTCATCATCATCATTTCAGCCTGTTTAAGTTCACTGCTGAACATAGGACTCCCCCACAGAGTGCCACAAAGCGCGATCCTGAGCCACCTGCATCCATCGATTTCCCGCACACTTGCACAGGTCGTCACTCTATCTAGTAGGAGGTCGTCCCACACTGCGATGGCCAGTACGAGGCTGCCACTCGAGAACCTTTCTTCCGCGTTGGTTATCAGTTCTACGAGCTATATGGCCTGCCCATCGCAACTTCAGCTCACTAACCTCCTGAGCTATGTCTTTGTTCTACTGCGTATATCTTCGTTGCGAACTCTATCACGCAAAGAAATACCGAGCAAAGCCTACTCCATAGCATACTGAGCGAATTTATGATAGACAATCACTTAACAACTGCTCACCTTGTTAATTTTAAAATAAGAAAGTCGCAATTATGAATCACACCATTTTTAAAGCATAGAAAGTGATAGAATGCTATGAAGAAAATAAATTATTTTTAAGTTTATACACCTATGCTCTCTACAGGATATGTATTCCTTCGACTAACGGTCCCGTTTTACCCTTTGGGTAAAGAACCCTAAAAATATTCCGAAGATATTTGAAGTGCGCCAATCCGCAATGGGATCTCGTAGTGGACTATGCCCTAATAACCTGTACAAAGGAGGCCTTTGCCCAGGGACCTTTTTAAATAACCTTTTGGTTATATTCAAATTTTTCAGTATACCGAAAATCTGATTTGGCGCGTAACCGCACCAATGCAACGCGATAACCACAACTCGATCTTCTTCAAGAGTCCTCTCCATATCTAATAATTAATTAAATTCTAAACAGTGCACATTTTTATTTTACATGAAACATACGGAATTCAAATCCATTAAACATTTTTGTGGCTAGCATACAAAATTCAAACCGACAAGATTGCAACATTCTTCTTAAATTTAGAAACCTATTGCGACAGGTTTAAAAACCAACATTAATAATATGATTTAGATTTAATATATAATTTGTATGGTTAAAAAGTTGTTTTTCACAAGAACGATGTGCTTCAAAGTTTACTCAATACGCAGTTAAGCGAATCTTAAATATCACTTTGTTAAACTTTTTACTAAGTGCTTTATTTACTCGTTTTTAGTTTCTTTTTTCGATTAAGATAAGTTGCTCATGATTTCCTGCTTATCTACTATCTACTTAGAATTCCCTTTTACCAGAAAAGAAAATAAAACTTAAAGCAATTTATTTTAACAGATTTTAATCAATACATATAATAAAGTAAGGCTCGTTCATACAACCATTATCAATTTATTTCTAAAATACTCCATTTATCTCCACTTAAATCAAATCTTCTTCTTTTCGCTTTAAAATTCCTATTTAATCATTTATAATATTATTGGAATAAACGGTAGGTCCCGCGCATATCTATTTTTTTAGTGTTTTCTAAACTATTTCTACGTCTGGAGAAACTTTTAAAAGAAAATTGACTAACAAATGTTTCATACCAACGTTAATTAATGCGTTCTTTTCAAGAACATCTGCATATATTTTCTTAAAAGTTCAAAGGATGTATAAAATTGTAAGCGTTAAAACAACGCATATTTACGTAACGTTCTATCAGCAGCCGCTTCAGATGTTAAATGCTTTTAATCGACCGCATGTTTATCGCACAAATCACCAATGACATACAAACTATTCTAAAAATCATAGTAGACAAAATTTGATTATCAATTATGAGAACATTTCAGCCCGAGTGACCGTATGTAACCTAAAATTATGTACATACATACCTAATAGAATGAACTGAAAGCACTTGAACCAAAAATATGCCTTGCACGAGGCCTAAGCACTCTCGATCTTGCCTAGTCAGTTCTGGCGTTTATATTTTAAATAATTTTTGTAATGTATTTTTTTACTCTTAATATTTCTTTTTGCTCGTAAATTTCAACCTAACTTTTGAACTTTCGTAAAAAACCTCTAAAAGAACAGCGCTTACTATATGTCAATTTCTTACTACTCATTTTTTTTAAGAATATCCATTTCTTTTGGACTTGACGAGCCACTGTTGGCCTTGGGGGCCTTTACAGTTTGTGAGAAAATTCATTTTATATCATTTATTTATATGTACGGATCCGTAAAGTTTCTTAAGTTGTCTAGTCGCCAACTGTAAAAACATTCATACTGTTTACTCGCCTAGTTACAGCAATTATCTCTGTAAACATAAACGTAGCTCTATCGTACCGTTACCTTATCGGGCCATCTCTGATTGTATTGTGATAAATGGAAATTGTACAGCACAAACAATGGGCCGCGATTAAACTTTAACTATTTTATCGTGGATGAATGGAGGTGTTTACCGTTCTGTCACATGATCATAACCGGGACGATATTACCGCCCTGCCTGCATAAGTAAAATCCATATTATAAGAATAAATAACAAAAGACATTCCCATCAAATTTTAAAGTAAAAAAATTAAATGTTGCTGAATAATATTTGTATATTATTATTGTATTAAATTTTCTTTAAATTTCCATTAAATTAATTAGGTGGATAATTCAAGAAAAGTTATTAAGAAAGTTTATTATAGTTCGTTTTGTTTGTAACACCTGAGAAATGTGCATTTACGATATCACTTTATGGATAATATTTTATGCAATTATTATGTGACTAAGACGTGTTTAACTACAAAGTTTGCACGAGGAAGGAACTAGATCTTGAAAATTTATGTTAAGGATGTCAAGAGGAGTGAGCTCTTGGATCCTTATTCTTACGGCACAAACTGAGACCACTATTAGCGACTATGATTTTATTATTCTTTGTTTATTTTTATAGGTGAGCCATGTGTGTTTTGTAAGAAAGAATGTTAACTCAGTAAGTTCAGACACGAATTTAAGGTTCCTGACCCTACCTACGGCCTTCGTATATTGAAATATTTTAATTTTACAAGATTTTGGAGATTTAATGTTGTAACATACTAACATGACATTTCAAGGTCATGGTTGACTCAGTTTGCACACACTTGCTAAGTGAATTAACTGAACGTCCAGTTTCACGTGCTCGTATTACACAAGTAAGTGAGGCGAAGAATCTAAAATGTTTCGAGAGACGTAAAGTGAGTTTGCAGTGTATTTAATTTTTCTTTCTTCAAGAAGTCTTTGTCTGTCTTCTTATGTAAGTTATAATCCTCCTTTTGAAAACGTGTTAAAGCAATTTAATTTCGTGTAAAATAACAATGTAATGGTCTGATTCCATTCTAGAACAGAGCTCGTAGAAAAAATGCAAGCGTGTAAACAATCATGCTTATCAAAATGAGGGCCTGCCTTGGGGCGAAAATTACCAATAGCTGCAGGAGCTGCTCCAATTCTACTGTTTTTCATGAAGGAGGAGTATCGAGAGTACGGGGCTGTCCAGATATTTAAATTATACAATTTTATGTCAATTCGGGCTTTGTTCGGTTTGTTAAAAACCATTGGTTCTGTCTTTTTCACAGGTATCTGACAGCTAAGCGACCAATATACTCACGTCGCGAAAAATCTCAACATCGCGATCGGTCGACTTTATTTATCGAAATTGCATATTTAGTGCATATGCAATGGCATCAAATGGACTGTGCATACTTCAAAAAATTAATCAAATAAAATTTTACTTCAATTCACTAAACTAATCAAATAAAATTTAACAATTGTGGCGACACAATGTAATATGATATATTATTCGAACGCCCCATGCGCCTTACATTGTGCAGCGCAGTACAGTTCATCGCAAGTAGCTAGCGAACGCACACTGTCATGTGAATATCTTGTAGAGTTAATAATAAATAATATATAATAGTAGCGTAGTAAATATCTCATCTCCTCGTCACAATAGGGCATACAAAAATATCTCTAACCCTACATTGGTGACCCGAACACGAACTTTGAAGTGAACACGTTACTGACTTCATATTGTGTGCAACCGTGAAAATGATCTCGCAACTACTACGGTGCATGCAAAACTTGGCGAGGAGAAAGTTACTGGATAAAACGATGCAGCTACTATGGCTGGACCATTTGCCGTCACCGGCACGAGCAGTCCTTGCCGCCGCTGACACAGAAGACATTGTTAAATTGGCCTACATCGCTGAAGAAATTTTGGAAAACACTAAACCTGATCAGTTGCGGATAGCTCAAGTATCAACGAGTAGCACGGATAAACTACTGCAGGAGATTTCCAAAATTACCGCGAAGAATATGGACAGGCCAAAGTCACAGCAGCGCTACAAACATCGTGAAACTTCGCGTAGGCGTATTCCGTTCCAGTCAGGAAACTCTCAGAGACGCCAAGATTGGTTTAGCTTCTACCATCATCGTTTTTGTGAACGGGGTAAGAAGTGCGCAATGCCGTGCATCTGAAAAGTTTCGGAATACTAGGACGAGTGCAGCAGGAGGCGGATGTTAGCACTATAGTCTCGTCCCACCGACTTAAACAGTGGTTATAATGTTTAGTGGATACCGGTGCTAACGTTTCAGTTATACTAGCTGATAAGAGACTATATTGCAAGTGTTGTGAGTATAAACTTTACGCAACGAACGGGTCCGTAAATAAAACTTTCCTAAACCGAAAACTGTCGACGATTTACGCAGATATTTAGGAATGGTTAATTTATATCGTCGTCATTTTCCAAAGGGCAATCGGTGTTGAATAAATACTTACACGGTGCTAAACGAAAAAACTAAAATCGAGTGGACTCAGGAGGCAAACATAGCTTTCAAACAGTGTAAAACTAGCCTACAAAGCGCATGTACATTGTTCCATTCGTTATCAAATGCTCAAGTTGAGATCCACGATTAAGCCGCGTGTACACACGCGCGAAGTATTTATTCATCCCGATCTTAAAACGGCGAATTATGTTTTTGTCAGAAATGATGCAGTACGAAAACCTTTTCAACCGACCTATAACGGTCCGTTCCATGTAATAAAAAGAGGAGAAAAAGTTTTCGTAATACACATTAACGATAAGCAGGTACGTGTTTCAATAGATCGTCTTAAACCCGCGTACGTGCTGGCAGATGACGATACCGATTCGCAGACAGGCATTACATGCCCTGTACCACTGGATCAAGGTGCAGAGGATCGGTATGCATCCAATGTGAAAAGAACTACACGATGTGGACGTATTGTTAAAAAACCATCGAGATATGTTCAATTTTAAATTTTAAATTTAAGCATTTATCTTATTTTTACATATACTTATACAATTGTTTTTACCTTTTTTATATGATGTTAAATTATATTTTATAAATATACAACCATTGTGTATACAGCCTTAATACTTATTGTGTTTGTTCGACAAAAATTGTCTTAGACAAAAATAAGTATTAAATTATAACAGTGTTTTGCTTTAACTTATTACCGTATTTGCGCAAGGCATACGGGTGTCAAGTTTAGTTTGTACGAGTACTATAATATTTGCAAGTTTGCTATTTTAATTGTATTGTTGTATTCTGAACGCAATTGCACGCATTTTATTAGATATTATCAATTTTTGGCCTAGCTAACAAATTTGGCGTAGGTACCTGGTTATATAAGGTTTGCATATTTTTTTAACATTTTACTCGTTTATACGTTACGAATTCTATACAATGGGAAAGTCGTATAGTAAGGAAGAAGAAGTCGTCGTGCAGAATGGAAGCCAAGTCGAGTCCTACAATGCCCAGCAGAGCATGTTGTTAGTGGCCATAGCAACATGTTTAGCCATAATTACCATATACGTGGTCTGGAGGTCATGCCGTAATCACGCGAAAGACTGGCTACGAAAGCAGGTGCATGCTGTCAACGCGGCTCCACCCGTCATTCATGTTCAGCAGCCAACGACTGTACCGCAGGTCGCGGTATCTACACCGCAGCCGGCAGCCGCCGCAGTGTATTGAAATAACGAGTAGCTAGTAATTTAGAGTTGAGTGTGTGCAGTTGCGGTTAAATGTTTTTTTTATTTTGTTCCATGTTATGTATTATTATATTTTTTTAAAGAAGGGGGTTGTGGCGACACAATGTAATATGATATATTATTCGAACGCCCCATGCGCCTTACATTGTGCAGCGCAGTACAGTTCATCGCAAGTAGCTAGCGAACGCACACTGTCATGTGAATATCTTGTAGAGTTAATAATAAATAATAAAGAATAGTAGCGTAGTATTTATCTCATCTCCTCGTCACAATTTGGAACAAATATAAATATCTCTAACCCTATACAATGAATATTAGTATTAGCTTCTGACCTGAAAATCAAACTTAAATTTCAAAAGAAAATTGTACAGTCAAAAACTTTTGTACTTCGGAATTAAACCTCCGTCTTTCAGGTAACGCACCCAGATACTCTAATCACTGAGCTAAGCAGGCAATATCCTCACCTCGCAAAAAATCTCAACATCTAAGTATTACCTTGTACATTGACGCAGCGCCGCATGTCATCAGGCAGAAGACATTTGCACAAACTTTTCGGGGCATCCGAGCTTCGTAGTAAAACCATTGGACTTCACGAGGCGCAGGGTTCAAGTCAAAGCCTTTTTCAAGTCAACTTAACAATAGTCACAATGGTTGACTCTCGAAGTTGAAGCACAAAAATAGCCTCACATGTGTCCCGATTAAGTTTAAAGCCTAATTTCTCTACTAACTTCTTCAGAGAGTCTTTGAATTGAATCGCTTGTTGCTCATGTCGCAAGATATGAAAACCTAGTTTTCGGTTTTTATGATAAATATAAAAAATTAAATTATATTTTTTTTCCATATGAATCGATTTAAACAATAATTATTTAAGTTTATTTTCAAGGCTTACAGATTATACCTAACCTTAAATCTTTTGCTTCCTTTTTTCTAACTCGCCGTTTGTATTATTTACCCCCACGTTTAAAACACTCTATAATCCATTCCACTTGATTTTACGACAGTAACGCTCACAAGCAAGTGGAACGGGAAAAACTGCGGTCGTAAGCGTTTTAATAATTTATAAGTTTTCTTAATAAATCTCTTTATGTCAATGTATTTTTTAATTTATTGTGAGAGGAAAAGTGAGTTTGCTGGATACCAGAGTCATCTTTAGTTAAGTCTATAAACGTTAAGAAAATAAATCAAAATCTAAATATTAAGATAATAATTATACACTATTCAAGCATTCAAAATGTTATAAGTATATATATATTGGAACTGTCTTACGACTCGTTGTGATCATTGTGACTTCCTATCGATAAATCTATTGTGTTTTCAAGATACTTTGTTTGTCGCTTATAATCCACGCAACGCCCACAATATGTTCTCTGGAGAAGACGCCCACTCAAATTTCTATCCTGTTTCGACATCAGAATTGGGATATGAGCAGGTAAACAAAGACAGTACTGAGGCACCACACTGTGAAGAAAATGGCGGAAACGGAGAAAACTGGCGGTTATTATTCGAAATGCAAAATTCGAATATGAAGGCCTTAATTGAAGCACTGAGTAAGCCACAACGTTCTACTCGGACTTCTAACCTACCTGAATTCGACCCAGACAAGACCGACGCAGATGGAAGTTTATGGTGTGCAAATTCAGACCTATGTTTCGCCGATAACCCAATGGAAGGAGGTCAGCTGATTGTCGTCATTAGCAAGGCGCTCAAAGGAAAAGTATAAGCGTGGCTATCTTCAGTTTTCTACTTTGATAAAGTTAAGTACTGACAAACCCAAAGAAACTGTGTCACTGTTATTTAATCACTGGAAGAATCTCACCGTCGAACAGATTGTGGTAGCAACAACAGTCGCACACATTTCCCAGTTCGATTCAAAATTTCAGAGAATGGCTTTTTCATCGGAAATAAACAATCGTCAGCGATTACAACAAGAACTACAAGCTTTTACGTCGCTGGGGCGCAAGTCAAGTACGGTAACGGATCAGCAAACATTTGAAACTAAACGCATAAAGATATCTCAAACAACGTCGATAAAATGTTTCCACTGTAGGAAAATTGGACATAGACTGGCTGATTGCCTACATAGACAGGAAGCAAAAGGGAAAACGACAAATTAACGGTGGTAGGGCCACGTAGCAGCCTCGGCTGTTGCACGAACGGGCAGGCTCGTCCGGATAAGTACCACGACCTCACAGAAGACCAGCGTAAAGTGGAAGTATGACAAATACTTTCGCGTTTCGTCTGGTGAGTCAGGTAGCCGGAGCCCAATTTTCAAAAGGTTGTCAACGCATCTGTAACCCTCGGGTGTAGCAGATGTCCATGGGCGGAGGTATTCGCTTAACATCAGGTGACCCGTCTGCTCGTTTGGCAACAATTCGCATACAAAAAAAATACAACATATTGAAGCCTCAAGACTCAAACCTCAGCATCAAGTCGAAACTCCAAGATCCATTGTATGCTATTTTTCAACACATTTCTACACGATGCCCTAGTGGAGACGGTGGAACCGAGACACCACGCAATCCAAGCGGCGACAAACGGGTGAAGTGTGTGTCGTAAATCCCATGACAGGCACAAAAAAATGGTCAGTTATTTACGTTTCATATGATTGTTGTGCTAAGTGTTCACTCAATATAGAATGTTTGTACTTGAAATCTTAGTGAGAAACGTAAACAAAGTGCTTTGAATTTCCTGATACTTAATCGTGATATTGAAAACAGTCAATATTGGAATTGGTTATTGATTGATAATAATTGATTTGGTTTAATAATTTTGTTAAAAATTAAACGCAGAGTTCTGTCGAATCTTGAGTTTTGTTGAATCTCGATAAATAATGATGTCTAGTTATAGTTAGGTCAGGAGTGACCGAGCTATGAATATTGTTCCAGAGTAACACACAAGGACGTGTGTCCCGTAGGATGGCCGTGTCGACAGACTCATAAGTGCTTGACAACGAGGCGCAAGCGTTATGACGTTAACGGTTCAACAGAGTCTCGACTGAAGTTCGCACGCGGGGAGAAGGGCACTTGCGACAACTAGTCTTGGAACTGTCTTAGGACTCGTTGTGATCATTGTGACTTCCTGTCGATAAATCTTTTGTGTTATCAAGATACTTTGTTTGTCGCTTAAAATCCACGCAACGCCCACAATATGCTCTGGAGAAGACGCCCACTCATCCATTCATTCCACTCATTTGTATCCTGTTCCGACACACACATATATATATACACAGCGTGTCGGTACAACATCTACGAAAATCCATAATTTAAAAAAATATTTTTCAAACAAACTAATTTAGTAAAAAAGATACAAAATTTGTAACATCCTATACAACTACAACTGACTGATTCATACATTCAGAGACTTTTTCATTCGTTGCCACAGCGTCGCATTACATACAAGCCTCTATTTCTAACAGAATGTTTTGTCTCTTTTAAATTCATTCAACCGATTCATATGCTTTGT